TATATATATATTAACCCCTTCAGGACTGGCCTGTTTTTGCGATGTTGTACTTAAGGACCAGGGCTCTTTTAACACTTTTGTGGTGTTTGTGTTTAGCTGTAATTTTCCCCTCTCTCATTTACTGTTCCCATACAAGTTATATATTGATTTTTTTTCAGGACAAAAAGGGCTTTCTTTACATTATTTGCATCATGTCATATAATTTACTTTAAAAAAAATAATAAAATATGGTGAAAAATTGAAAAAACAAAAACATGTTTTTGAAAAATCTTTTACTTACCTACGAAAGCTGATGAAAAAAAATGCTAAATAGATTCAAAATGTTGTCCTGAGTTTAAAAACACCCAGTGTTTATGTGCTTTTTTGCTGTTTTTTGCAAGTTATAGGGCTATAAGTACAAAGAGGAAATTGCTGTTTCAAAATATATATTATTAAAATGTATCAATAGTGACATTGTAACACTATTATCTGTCATAAATCTCTGAATCACACCCCACATGTACATTTTTTTTTTAAAGTAGACAACCCAGGATATTTAATATGGGGTATGTACAGTCTTTTACAGTAGCCACTTAGTCACAATCACTGGCCAAAGTTAGCGTTCATATTTGTATGTGTGTGAAAAAAGTAAAAACTAAATTGAACGCTAATTTTGGCCAGTGTTTGTGAATAATTTGCAATACCTTGGGTTGTCTTCTTTTGCAAATGGTATGCCATCATGGGGGTAATTCTCATTCCTGGGCTACAATATGCTCTCAAAGGCAATGTAACCAACCTGGTAATTTTCAATGTAAAAATATTTGACCCTTATATTTGACCCTGTAGTTTTCAAAAATGCCATAAAACCTGTACATGGGGGATACTGTTAGACTCGGGAGACTTTGCTGAACACAAATATTAGTGTTTCAAAACAGTAAAATGTATCACAACAATTATATCATCAGTAAAAGTGCTGTTTGTGTGTGAAAATGCAAAAAAAGTCACTTTCACTGACAATATCATCGCTGTGATATGTTTTACTGTTTTGAAACACTAATATTTGTGTACAGCGAAGTCTTCCAAATAAAACAGTATCCCCCATGTACAGGTTTTAGGGTGTCATAGAAAGTTACAGTGCTAGCAAATTAAATTCTCTGGACTTTTGGCCTGGGTTGTCAGGCAGGTCCCTCAAATTGCAATCAATAAAATTACTTAATTATGTAAAAATATTACAAAAATACACACGTAGAATTTAAATATATATGCATATTTATATATTTGAAGTCTACGTGTATATTTATATAATTATTTATGCAATTTTGTATATGGACATATATATATTTTGTATTATTTTTATTTATTTATATATACATAGATATATATACAATTTCATTCTAAGTGTATTTGAATATAAATATATATATATATTAATATCAAAATACAGTTAGAATAAAATTTCATATAGATATATAATTTTTTGTAAATTTGTATTATTATTTTTACATTTTTTAACTTAATTTACTTATTATATGTATTTTATAATAATATATATATACAATATATATAGTTATTATATATATTATATATATACACGTGTGTAATTTAATTACAAGTGTATTTTTATCTTAATATATGCATTAATATAAAAATACACTTATGTATTAATATAAAAATACACTTAGTATGATATTGTATATATGATATATAGACATATTATATAGATATAATATATGTCTATATATCATATATATATATACATATGTATGTATATATATATCTATATATCTATATCTATATATATATATATATATATATATATATATATATACACATATATAATTATATATTTTTTTATGAACATTTACATTTTTTATTTTTTTATTTTACACTTGTCAGCACAGGCAGTCCCCCTGCAGGCAGACACTAGGACACCTATTGTGACCATGTGACTGCTCTGTTGAGCGATCACATGGCCTCCGGGGTCCTAATTCGCTGCGGGGAGATTGTCTGGGCTGCAGGCCGTCTCCCCACACCAGGAGCACCGACGATCGCCTCCGGGGGAACGAAGATGATCGGGTAAGTACATAATACCGTTGTGACGGTTCAGGACCATCAGCGGTCGACAACGGTAAAATACCGATGACGGTCCTGAACCATCACCGGTCGCGAAGGGGTTAATTTTAAAATACAGTTAGAACGAAATTGCACATATATATTTTTATTTTAATTTTATTTTTTAACGTATTTACATATATATATATATATATATATTTTATATTATATATAAATATATATATAATTATAATTACATATATATTTAATCAATCATTCTACGCGTACTTTGATATTAATATATATAGACAGTGTATGTTTATATATGTGTATGTATGGATATGTGTATATATATATATATATATATATATATATACTTAGATCATATATATAATAAATATATAATTTAATTTTAAACTGTTTTAAAGTTTTTCTTTGTTTTTTTTTACAGGCAGCAGGGGGAGTACCTGTCATTAGGTCCTCGCGATCACATGGCTCAGGGGGCTGAAACAGACAGAGAGGGAATCCCTGGGATGGCCGGCGACCGGGTAAGTAGAAAGGACGGCAGGGACATACTATGCCGCCTCCCGGCGTTTAGAGCCAGGTCCCTAAGGACGGCATAGCACGCCCGCCGTCTTTAAGGGGTTAAATTTTAAATGAATTTTGAATTCACACTTTAGTAAATAACTCTGTTAGATGTCGATGTCTATAAATAAGAGCACAGCGCAAAACACATCAAGTGGTGAACGTGGTGGAACGCGCTGGAGTTTTTTAGTTGCAATTCTATTGTTTTTTGTTTGTTTGTTTTTTGTGTGTAAAACCTTTTAAAAACGGGTAGGAGCTTAACCACGGTGCCGAATGGACGCCATTCTCCACGGCTCCCCTTACACATTACAGGTACAGGGGACCATTGACCCGCGAGACCCATAGCCACAGCATCAGGGCTCACAGGGCTACCCACCGATGCCCTTTTTATACGCACAATCGGGGAAAAAAAAGTCTGCAAATCTCTGGCCTACCTTGCCCTCCTGCCGGTATCACAACTACCCGCGGCGTTCTTCCCGGGCCTAGAAGACTGGTCCCAACAAACGGCTGACCACCACCGATCCCCCAGCAACAAAATGGGGAGACGCTCACAGAAGCCACAACCAGCTACAACCAGGGACTCACAAAATATAGGGACCCTACTGCAACGCACTGCCGGGCACAAAATGGCGGCCGACCAGGACCAGGAGACAGGCTCCACAGGCTCAGAACAGCTGCCACAAGGACGCAGAACAGACAGGCGATCAGAATCCCCCAGCAGCCCACAAACAGAAGGGGATGAATCAATCCCAGCCACCAAAAAAAATATCAGGCTCTTGCTGCAAGAAATGAAGCAGATGTTTGATGCTGACATAAACCTGGTGCGAAGAGAAACGCAGGCAGTGACAGCACAGGTAGAGGCCTCCGAAAAGGACATACTGGACCTCAGACAAGAGGTGAAAAGCATGGGGGACACCCTGCGACACTTACAGACGGAAAACACAGCGCTCCAAAACACACTAGATGCCATGGAAGATCGCAGCAGGCGCACACATATCAAAATTCGGGGAATGCTTGACACAGTCGGACCAACAGAATTGCCACTGTTCCTGAGGCAACTCACAGCAACAATCCTGCCACACACACAAGCTAAAAAGCTGGAATTCGACAGCCATTTTCGCATCAATAAGGCCAAACGGGCACCCATGACGGCTTCAAGGGATGTCATAGTCCGCTGGCACTCCATGTCAGACAAACGCCGCATACTAGCAGCGGTGAGAGACAAGACACCACTAGCCTTTGAAGCTTCACAACTCACCTTTTTCCAAGATACCACTTGGAACACCCTGCTATGGAGAAAGTCCTTGGGCGAAGTGATGGAATGACTTCGGAAAGAGAAAGTAGAATATAGATGGCTGTTGCCAAGAACACTGGCTGTCATAAGAGGAGAAGAGGTCCTAAAACTCACCTCAATCTCGGAGGCCCCTGCGTTTCTCCAAAAAGTGGGACTAACACAGAAGACCTCAATACCGGGAACAACATCAACCCCCCACACATGGGACCCAGAGAGAACTGTTCCATTCTTCCCCAGGGGCAGCAAGAGACAGGAGGCAGTGACCTGAACACCGCACAAAATGTCTATTACTAATTTCCATGCTCTGCTGTTCTCTTATCTAAGTTGACCCTACTACTCTCTTTACACTCCAAGTTTTGTTAATGTCTCCTCCTACATATAGCAAGAACAAACATAGATATAAGGATGCGCCTAAAACTTGATAAAATAAAAGACTAAATTAGTCAGATAAAATACAGAATAAAATAAGTAATAAAACAATAGTCCAATAAAATAGGCTTATCACAGTCCGTGAGGGTAGGTCCCACTTGTAAAGGAATATTCTTTAGGGTGTAGGTGGGATCATATCTTCAAATATTGAGAATTCAGCATATGTGGAGAGAAAAATAAAAACAGGACTCCAATGGCACAGTAAATTGGTGTATAAAATAAATATAAAGGTATAAAATCAGTCTTACTCACACTTTTCAGAGCTAGGATCAGCTCTGATATTGCTCGCGTAAAGTGGAATAATCCCCACTTCAAGGATATATGGAGTAAATGTTGATTGTTGAATATCTGACGTGGGTTCAGCGTTCAATTTGACGTGATACGACCCAGAGGAAAAAATGAAATAAAATATATAGTGCTCACTGTATGTAATAAAATTAAAAGAAAGTAAAGTATACTACTCACGTAAAGTAGAGCAGACTCAAAACTGCTCAGTGAAGGCGCTCAGGTGGTATAATCCCCACCTATGGATTCTTTGCACTTCCTGCAGGGTGAGTCGTATACGTAAAAGCAATAAAAGAAAATGTATGTAAAATCAGGTAAAGCAAATGGCAATAAAGTATTTTATGCCAATAAAATATCTTTATTATAGAGTTAAGAACAAAATCTATTAATATCTAAACGCGTTTCGCCTTAACAGGCTTCTTGAAGAAGCCTGTTAAGGCGAAACGCGTTTAGATATTAATAGATTCTGCTCTACTTTACGTGAGTAGTATACTTTACTTGAAGAAGCCTGTTAAGGCGAAACGCGTTTAGATATTAATAGATTTTGTTCTTAACTCTATAATAAAGATATTTTATTGGCATAAAATACTTTATTGCCATTTGCTTTACCTGATTTTACATACATTTTCTTTTATTGCTTTTACGTATACGGCTCACCCTGCAGGAAGTGCAAAGAATCCATAGGTGGGGATTATACCACCTGAGCGCCTTCACTGAGCAGTTTTGAGTCTGCTCTACTTTACGTGAGTAGTATACTTTACTTTCTTTTAATTTTATTACATACAGTGAGCACTATATATTTTATTTCATTTTTTCCTCTGGGTCGTATCACGTCAAATTGAACGCTGAACCCACGTCAGATATTCAACAATCAACATTTACTCCATATATCCTTGAAGTGGGGATTATTCCACTTTACGCGAGCAATATCAGAGCTGATCCTAGCTCTGAAAAGTGTGAGTAAGACTGATTTTATACCTTTATATTTATTTTATACACCGATTTACTGTGCCATTGGAGTCCTGTTTTTATTTTTCTCGCCACATATGCTGAATTCTCAACATTTGAAGATATGATCCCACCTACACCCTAAAGAATATTCCTTTACAAGTGGGACCTACCCTCACGGACTGTGATAAGCCTATTTTATTGGACTATTGTTTTATTACTTATTTTATTCTGTATTTTATCTGACTAATTTAGTCTTTTATTTTATCAAGTTTTAGGCGCATCCTTATATCTATGTTTGTTCTTGCTATCTGTTATCATTAGGGGATTATTGGGGACTCCCCTTTGAGGATTGCTGCCTTTCTTATAATTTTATTGTGGCAATTTAGTGCTGTTTTCTTTCTCTTTTTCCAATCTCTCCTACATAGGCCGTGACACGAACCCCTCCCGCGACCCTCCTATGTTAGGGGTCGACACTACCCACTATTACACGTACAGCATACCTGACACCAGGGCCGGATTAACATTGGGGCTGATGGAGCTGCAGCTCGAGGCGCAGGCCCAGGCCCATGGAATAGGCCCATTGATTTAAAAAATAAAAAATACATTTTTTTTTATTTTTTTTTTACACACACTACTCTTAGGGTTGCCAGGTATTTCTTATGTATTTTTTATGGTTGCCAGGTATTTCTCAGATGTATTTCTCGGGTATTTGAGGCTGCCTAGCCAGTGCCAGTATTGCAGTAATACCAGCAATACAAATGTCTGCCTCAGTATAAACAGAGATTATTCTGCAATACTAGCGCCAGCCAGTAGGGGGTCGCTGTTTGTGTGGAGAGAGGCAGGGATAAGAAGTTACAGCATTTCCCTCCCTGCCTCTCTCTACTCACTGATCTGCGGGGGAGCAGCTCTGCACGGAGAGTCCAGACAGCAGCTCCGAGCCTGCGAGACATGGGGACGATGAGAGACTTGGGGACACTGAGACATTGGGAAACTGGGAGATATAGGGACACTGGGGAACATGGGGACCCTGAGACACTAGGGACACAGTGGCCCCATGTCTCCCAGTGGCCCCTAGTTCCTCAGTGTCCCCATGTCCCTAGTGTCTCGGTGTCCCCATGTCTCCCAGTGTCCCCATGTCTCCCAGTGTCCCTGGTGTCTCTCAGTGTCCCTAGTGTCTGTGGCCCTAGTCTCCTAGAGTCCCCTAGTTTCCCAGAGTCCTCTAGTCTATCAGTGTCCCCATGTCTCTCCCAGTGTCTCGGTGTCCCCATGTCTCACAGTGTCCCAATGTCTCTAACTGTCCCCTAGTGTCCTAGTGACATTGGGACACTGGGAGACAAGGGGACACAGACTCTAAGGGACACTGGGAGACATGAGGATACAAACATTAGGGGACACTGGGCGACATGAGTACACTGAGACACTGAGAGACATGGGGACACTGGGGGACACAGGGAAACATGGGGACACTGGGTGACTTTGAGACCTTGGAGACATGGGGCACTCCCGGTGTCCCCATTTTTCCCAGCCAGAGTCCCTAGTATCTCAGTATCCCCATTTCTCCCAGTATACCTGGTGTCTCTAAATGTCCGTAGTGTGCCAGTGTCCCTAGTGTCTCAGTGTTTCCTAGTCTCCCAAAGTCCCCTAGTCTCCCAGTGTCTCAGTGTCCCAATGTCTCCCAGTGTCCCCATGGCTCCTAGTATAAAAGAAAAAAATCTTAGGCACTCACTGTGATAGATTTAAGCAGGTTTATTCAACACTGCAACGTTTCAACCTGTACTCGGGTCTTTATCAAGTCTCCAGTGTCCCCTATGTATCATAGTGTCCTCCATGTCTCAGTGCCCCATGTCTCCCAGTGTCCCTGGTGTCTCTCATTGTCCGTAGTGTCGCAGTGTCCTTAGTGTTTCAGTGTCCCCTAGTCTCTCAGAATCCCCTAGTCTCCAGTGTCCCCATGTCTCACCGTGCCCCCAAGTTTCTCAGTGTACCCTAAAATAAAAGAAAAAATCTCAGGCAATCACTCAGATTTTAGCAGGTTTATTGGACACCGCAATGTTTTGACCTATATCCAGGTCTTTATGAAGTCTCCCCCTATATATCACAGTGTCCCCTATGTATCACAGTGTCTCAGTGCCCAATGTCTCCCAGTGTCCCCTCGTCTCCATGTCTCCCAGTGTCTCAGTGTCCCTAGGTCTCCCAGTGTTCCCTAGTATCTCGATGTCCCCATGTCTCCCAGTGTCCCAATATCTCTCAATGTCCCCTAGTGTCCTAGTGACATGGGGACACTGGGAAACATGGGGACACAGACACTAAGGGACCGGGAGACATGGGGACACAGGCATGCCCCCTTTTTGTGTATGTTCGCCCCTTTCGGCAGTTCTGGTTATGTGATTTGTGTCAGTGGCCCACCCTTTTACCCCATCCATAGACTTCCTGCTTTACTGGACACTGCTGTTAGGGGGTATGGGTTTACTTAAAAGATGAAAGCGAGAGATTAGCATAGGGTATGTGTTTTCGCATAGCTGCATCCTATGAGTTTCCCACCATCTCCATCAGATACATGACGCTCAGGAGAAAGAACTGTTTTAATTTTTTTTGGTCAATAAGATTTTGTAATTAGGCCCATCATAATTGTCAGCACCAGGCCCACTGGGCTCTTAATCTGGCCTTGCCCGACACACAATCTCCACCAAGGCACTGACAGAGGCTCTTGGCTCACACAGAGGCATAAACGCCAACTCATACTGCGAGGAGCGACAAAACTAACCTACCGCCTTATGCCCCTCCCAGACAACAGAGGATTGTGACACCCAACCACTCACAATACCCTATCACTATCCATGCACTCGACTTCCTTAACTACCCCCTGACCACCCTAGTAAGCACACTAGACTTACAGGAAAAAAGGAAAAAGTACATACACATTTCTACTAAGTTCTCCCCGACTATACGTATACACACTATCTCTTTTGACTATTGAACAGAGGGACAATCACAATATGCTTACTGCCTACTCTTCGTTCCTATCAATATACTCATGTAAAACGTATTGACTAACTCTGAACTATGTTACTGTAAATGCCGTTTACCAATTTGTCTATGCTGATGAGGCAACACAAGTATGCTTGTTAAAACCTAAATGCACTGAAAATAAAGATTTATAAAAAAAAAAAATCCTTTAAAAAAAATTAAAACAATAACTTTTTTTTTTTTTAATTCTTTATTCTTGTCAAGCACCAAGTCGGCAATATAGTACATCAAAGTTAAAACATTACATACAATACTAGTATTTCCTTTTTTCCTATTTAAGGTAGAACTTGGGAGAATTAAAAAACAAAACAAAAAAACATGAAATATAAAGCACATTACAGTTGAAAAAAAACACCATTATGTACAGCGCTGTGTGTAACCAGTCAACATGATGTATAGATTTTTAAAATATCATGAAATGTCAAGTTGTAAAAACATTCTGTACTCCTGGCCACCTGTTAAATTTCAGAAATACTCATAACCTGGCTGTTTTCCAGCTCCTGAGTACAGGGTAACATGGTGTGTATTTGTGTTGCTATATATATATATATATTATTTCTTGGTGTGTATGTAGCCATTTGATATCCATCCATACATTCCAGTCCATGTTCATCTTAGAAGCAGAGAATGGTTGAGATCCAAGTAGGTACAATGCACAAGGGTTTATTCACTAAACCGTGATTCGATGGGAACTCACCATTCAAACTTGAAACATTTTCTCTGGCCTAAAACATTAAATGTTTTTGTAAAAAAATGTGAATTCCCAATTATTTACATTTTAGTTAATACCAGGGTTATTTGCTATAGTGAGAATTCAAAGTCTATCGCTCAACATTTACACATTTTAACAGTTCTGTCGTTTGCTGAATTGGGGCTGCTGAGGTTGCAGTCTTCTCGCTCTGGACTGCTACCATCAGCATACTTCTATTATAAACACCGTCTCTACTCCGGGGAACTAGGGTACAACTTTACCTAGCGGAGGGTCTGTCACATCTAAACTCCAAAAGCCATTGGAGGCTCTGGAGAATGCCTTTGGATGATGCAGGGGGTCCAGAGGAGGTTGCCCCTGTCACTGAGAGCCCAGCTGGGAGGGGGTGTTGAGGCCTCTGGCAGACTGTGAGGCCAAGTGCGTCCTGTCTGGGAGAGGAGGCCTGCGGTGGGTTGAGGAACATAGAGGCTCCCTGTGTCCAGTGGTATAATGGTTTGATTGTAAGTGCTGATAACATGCAGTTTCAGCTTATGAAACAGATTATTTTCTGCGGTGCTGTAACGCGCTATGCTTTTTATTTATACATATGTTTAATTTTTGTGTCAGTTTTATCTCATTGCCCCCTTTAGTTTTACTTTAATATGTTGTAACAATAAAACAATTTAAAACATATATTTTTTCAATTTAAAACATATATTGAAATACTTCAGCGCATGACTAGAGTTCAGATGCCTACATTACCATCATTCATCGCAGCTGTGACGTGGCAGGTGAGCTT